TGTTCCTAGTATCAACTCGGCGCGATTTTGCAGCCCGTAATGGAAGGACACTGCACTCTGGCAGCGCTTTAAAAAAATAACTCCAGAGCTGGATCTGAAGAGGCTGTTACTGTGTAGGCACAGCAACTACTGTCTCACAAGGACTTTTAATGCATAGATTATACGCTGCGTTTCAGAGCGGGGCCCGGCGCAGCTCCCCAAGCCGCCATTAACCAGAGAGGGGGTGGAGGCCCCATCCCTGGGACCATTCCAGGCCAGGTTGGCCGGGGCTGTGAGCAACCTGATGTGGTTCAAGGTGTCCCTGCTCCTGCAGGGGGGTTGGGCTGGGGGACCTCTGGGGGTCCCTTCCAACCCAAAACATTCCATGATTCTATGATTCTATGCCAGCTCCCTGGATCCGCAGCCATGCCAGGCACAGCCGCCCAGCTCCGGGTGCCCCCAGCTCCAGCCTGGGTGCTGGAAACTTCGGCGTTAAGCGATGGGTTGCTGAGGGATGCACATGGGGCTTCGAACCAACCCCCCCCAGAGATGCTCAGGAGGTTTTAAGGGCTGCGAGTGGCAAAATTGAAACCCTCTTGAGTTTTTCCTGAGCAGCCACAGCTGAGCAGCGAAGCGGCAGGGGGATTGCTAAATTGCTTGCAAACCCCGCTGAGGGGTCTCGGTGCAATGGTCCTTCACCATCAGAACCAGCAGGAAGGATCGGGCCAGCCATGGTGGCCTCCAGACGTGGCCAGCGTGGCGGCTGAGCTCTCCCCATGCCGGCCGAGCGCTCCCCGTGAGTCACCTGGTTTAATTTTCATGCAGAATTAGCTCAGCTCAAGCAGGGAAGGATGCTCCTTCCTTGGACTGATCTGGATTGAGGCGAAGCTGCCTCTGGCTCCTGAAGGAATTACTCCGTATGAATTCCCTATTAACCCAGCAGCTCTGAAATTCCCCTGGAGTTCAGGGAGAAGTGGGTTTCTTGCCCACGTTGGAGTCCTGCCCGGGTTTTTCTCCCCGTGTGTACAGAAATACGATCTCAAGCCCAGTGCCAGGGGTGGTAAACACCCGTGAAGGGTGATAGGGAGATACGTGCCAAGCTATTCTGATGACTTAATAAATTGCTGCACTTCACATGTCACCCCAGCGTCTTCACAAATATCTCATGCATGTTATTTACAAATGCTCCTCGTGGAAAGCCTGGCAGAAAGGCCGTCTACAAACCCTCCAAAAGCTCCTGATGTCCACAAACACATCCCTCAGTCTCCCAAGCCCTGGAAGAACAACCCCGCGAGAATCTCAAATCTTTTCCAAAGCCTTCGGCCAAGCATCGCAAACCCTCCCGGCAGCAGCGGTGCCAGCAGACAAGGGACGGGGACCATCATTAGTGCCATGGGTGGTCAGCAGCATCCAAACAGCATCAGCCACTCTGGAAATGACGTCTGAACCACCAAACCCAGAATTTTAGCATTTTAGCAGGACCAAGGGGGCCTCACGAGCAAACCCCGGTGGTTTCGCCCATCCGTTCCACCCGCACGTGGAGCAAGGGCAACGATTCCTCCCGCTGCAAAGTGCTCCGAGAAGCACAGATGAAAAGCCCCATCGTAGATGTGGGTATTTATCCATAAGCCCAGCACCATCCTCCTCCTCCACAAGCTCCACCCAGACCCTGCTTTTGTAGGGGATGAGAGCTCCTGACAGCCGTAACCACTCACAAATCCCTGGGACCGCCCTCTGGTACGCGACGCTTTCTTTTTTTCCGTACAAAGCCAAGAAAATTGAAGCCGACTTAAAAGAAAATTTGGTGGGTGCGGTGCTGAAGGCACAGAGCAGAAGTGAAGGTAAAACAGCAGCACAGGGCATTAGAGCCCCCGCCACACAAGCGGCTTGCTGAATAAGCCGCCGTTGTTCCCTGTCACTTTTTAGGCAAGGCTGCTGAGCGGGGATTACAGAGCAGGCGGCTTAAGAGGAGCAGGTGAGGCGAGATACGCAGGGATAACGAAAAGAAAATACAAATTACTGTCTCCCCGCTGCTGCGGGGGGGCAAAGGGGGGATGCACTGGTGAACTCCTCTTAGGATGACAGTTTAGCCCTGGAAAAAAAAAAAAAAAAAAAAAAAAATCGAAAAAAAAAAAATCACCCAATTCTCTGAATTATAAATCATGTCACCACCTCGTCTCCACACCAGCCTCCCTTCAGCTTCCCCGTAATTAAAGGACGGAGTTGGAGAGACACTGCCACGGAAGATGAAAGTGCCACCAGGATTCCCGGCGCTGCCGGGTTCGTTCGTTAGCCAGCCCAGCTGACAAGTCTGGTGCTTGAAAACTGAAAAACTTCTCTCCCTCTCCGGCGGGAGGCTGCCGGCGAGCCCAGCGAGCGGCTCTTTGCGGGGATGCTGGGGGAGCGGGACCACCCCATCACACAGCGAGGTCCCCCAGCAGCCCGCCTTCTCCTCGCCATCCCCGCTGCTCACCCTGGGCTTCCTCCAGCCCCCATTTTTAGGGTCAGCAATGCGAAAGAGGTGCTAGGGCTGTGGCGCAGGGGAAAATAATGGTAAACCCTTTATTTCTCCCCTTTTGCAAGGGTCTCAAGCGCTCCCTGTGAGCTGGATCAGGCTGCCACACACGTGCACTCTTCCCTCTGGGGTGCATGAAGAGGAGCGTGGCCAGCAGGGCGAGGGAGGTTCTCCTCCCCCTCTACTCTGCCCTGGGGAGACCCCACCTGGAGCACTGGGTCCAGTTCTGGGCTCCCCAGTTCAAGAAAGATGAGGAACTCCTGGGGAGAGTCCAGAGGAGAGCAACAAGGATGATGGGGGGACTGGAGCATCTCCCCTAGGAGGAAAGGCTGAGGGAGCTGGGCTTGTTCAGCCTGGAGAGGAGAAGGCTGAGAGGGGACCTCATCACCACCTACAAATATCTCAAGGGTGGGGGTCACGAGGACGGAGCCAGACTCTTC